GAGCGCGGGGTCAGGATGTTTGGTGCATCCGGGTCTCCCTTAGGGGCAAGCAGCATGGACATGAGATGAGGTAAAGCAGCAGCAAAACACTTGAACTCCTCCCGCCTGTCCTCAAGGACGTCCGTGCTAAGAGCAGACTCACCCCCGACGGACGGAGGACAGACAGACTTAGACTCAGCAACAAGACTAGCGGCGTAGTCTAGACGACAGTGAGCAGCGAAGTCGACAAGCTCAGCAACTAAGGCAGACGCAGCAGTGGACTCAAAGGAAGCGTCAGTGACAACACTGGCTAGGAGACGCGTGACAGTAGGACTGGCAGCACGAAGGGAGTCAGACTCTGGGTCAGCAAGAGCAGGAAGAGAGGACGCAGGAGGAGACGGCAAGGGACACGCTGTGGACCAGTGGAAGGACGTAGTGCCATCTGGTGCGTGCCTGGGATAGCAGGAGGACGCTGACGTGGAACACGACGACAAGTGCGAGCAGCACGAACAGGTGACACAGGACGAGACTCAGGCTCACGACGCTCAGCAAGACCTCCAGTAGGACCAGTGTAGGGAGAAGGAGCAGGTAGTGGACACTCTAAGGAAGGAGAAGGACCAGAAGAAGGAGCGGAACGAAGTACGGCCGTGCCCGCGCAGCACCTCCAGAACCAGCAGGGACAGCACCAGCACCCCCAGCGTCAGCTGCGACTCCAGCAGCTCCACCAGCTCTAGCAGCACCTCCAGCAGCTCCAGCAGTGCCAACTCCAGCACCCCCAGGAGCACCAGCTCCAGTAGTACCTCCAGCTCCAGCAGGACCACCGGAAGACGCAGCAGCTCCGGCTCCAGTACCCCCAGCCGCACCTACTCCAGCAGCACCGCCAGCTCCAGCTCCGCCAGCAGCTCCAGCACCAGTAGAACCACCAGGCCCAGCAGCTCCAGTACCTCCAGTACGAGCACCTCCGGGGCCCGTGGCTCCAGCACCCCCAGTAGCAGTAGAACCTCCAGCACCGGTAGCAACACCAGCTCCAGCGGCACGGCTCCAACACCAAGCAAACCACTCGCGCAGCTCCTGTGGAGAGAGTAGCCCCCGCCGGGACGAAGCTCCCAAAGGACCCCCAAGCCCAGCACCGCCAGACTCCACACGAGCAGGCCCAGCACCCTCAGGCTCCGCACCCCCAAACTCAGCAACCCCAAGCTCAGCACCCCCAGACTCAGCAACCCAAGGCTCAGCACCCCCAGACCCAGCACCCCCAGGCTCCGCACGCTCAGGCTCAGCACCCCCAGACCCGGCACCCGCAGGCTCAGCACCCCGAGCAGCACTAGAGTCAACAGCACTAGGGTCTACCGGGGGAGGACCTGGCGCAAGGAAGAGTGGGGGGGGGTGGAGGGGGGGGCAGCGCGGTAGGGGAAGAGACGGTAGTACGGCACCGACTCGTCAAACGTGACGTCCTGGGAGGACAGAACACGGCGCGAGGTGGGGTGGTAAAACTGCCAACCAGGCGCGTCAGGGGGGAAGCCAAGGAAGACGCAGGGAACTGCACGGGAGGACAGCTTGTCCGCAGACAAAGTCGCGGACGAAAGCTCGAGATCCCCAGACACGGAACGCAGACGCATCGCCAACCTTCCCCGTCCACCGCAGAGTAGGTGTGGTCTCTGGCATGGAGATCCAAGGCTGGAGGTTGAGCTGATGCGCCGCGTACTGAACCGCGAACAGCCACAAAAAATGGGGAGCAGCCGCATGGATCATGGACGTACGAGAGACGTCCATGACCATGCCAATGCGGCGCTCAGCAATCCCATTTTGCTGCGGAGAGGCCGGAAGCATGAAGGTCTGGCGGATGCCTTGTGCACGACAGAAGGCTTGCAGAAGGTCATAGGAAAACTCTCCACCTCTGTCGGAGTGCAGACGCAGAACAGGAAAGTCCGAGCCAAAACTCTCTCTGAGCCGGAAACGAGCAGCGCGGATCCAGTCGATCAGCACCTCAGTGACCTCACCCTTGCGGCGCAAGGGGAAGACTGTCGTGTAACGCGAGTTTTTGTCAACAACCAGCAGGAAGTGACGCTCGTGACCCTGTCCACGGACGCGGGCTGGGCCCCACACTTCCATGTAGAGAGTCTGCAGTGGAGCCTCTATCGGAGGAAACTCAGAGGAGTGAGGAGCGGCGCGCTGCCGCCCCTCGACGCAGGGAACGCAGGTAGGGGCAGGCCCCGGAGGAAGGGGGGGGAGGGACCGGGGGAGACCAGAGACAAGGACACGGGAGGCCATGCCTCAGAGACGATGCAGGGAGTGGTGACCAAGGCGGTGGTGCCAGAGGAGAGTCTGGTGAGACAGGAGACGACACGAGCAGGGGGCAAACTCAGGACCAGACCTGGACGCTGCAGGAAACACCTGACCCAACGCAGCTACCTGACCAGACGCAGGAACCGGAGGAGACTCGACAGGCTCGACCCCGGCTGACGAGTAAATGTGGCCAAGTGACGGCCCGTCTGAGCACACGTGCAGTGGGTCACTCGCTGACTCGCAGGAGTGAACTAGTCAACCCCCCCATCCTGCAGTTCAGCACCACTCACCAAGTTCGTAGAGAACAAGGGGAGGTAAAGACCCGACAGGGAGCCAAAAGGGGCAGCCGGACACGGTAGGACAGTGGAGTAGTGGGCAAGGACAGGACCCCCGGAGGGGTCTGCCAGGGGGACTGCAACCGGCCGAATAAGCGGCGTGAGTGTGGTGCGGTCTCGAAAGAAGGAGCGGGAAGCACATGATTCAAGGGTGGAGGTGTGCAAAACCTTAGCTGACGCGTTACCTGAGAGAGCAGACTCACCAGCACCTGGAGCAGCAGACGCACTAGCACCTAGAGCAGCGGCCTCACTAGCACCTAGAGCAGCGGCCTCAATGCCCAGGTCAGGCGGAACACACAGGTAACAGTCACCCTCAGCACTAGTAGAGACAACATACATGGCAGCAAGAGTAGCATCAAAGTCAAGATCAAAGATAGCTACACCCGACTTGAGCAGATCACCCCAGCGAGGGATCTCAGTGGCGTGAGGGAACTGGATACGCCAGGCGTCCGTCAGGCAGCCAATGCAGCGCTCGGTGGCGTGCGGCCCACCGCACGGCTCCCCAGTGCGGTCACCTGTACGCAGGACGTAGGCACAGGGACCAGGACCCCCAGGCCGCTGGCGCGCAGCGTAACACTCACGAAGCTGCTGGGGCGACGGGGTCTCACGAGAGCGCTGCTGCTGCTGGCAGTGACCACCACCAGAGTCTCCCCGCTGCACAACTCCACCCCGACCAGCTCCACCTCCGTCGCCGCCGCCGCCTCCACCCCCACCGCCGCCGCCGCCGCCTCCGCCTCCACCTCCACCGCCACCACCGAAGCCCCCACCCCCGCCACCACTCCCACCCCCACCCCCTCCGCCGCCTCCACCGCCACCACTGCCACCCCCGCCAGCTCCTCCATCGCCCTTGCCCCCCTTGCCCTTGCCGTTGCGGCGCCTCCCACTAGGAGCAGACGCAGCGCCGACTGACTCGGTGCCAACGAGGTCGACAGCAGCAGCAGAGGCAACAGAGGGCAAAAGGGGAACGGGGGAGCACCCCTCAAAGAAAGGGGCACGAGGGTCACCACGAGAGGTTCCTACGTCGACTATACTCTTCTCAGCCGCAAGGAGGCGCTCCTCGAGGAGGTCAACGGTGAGTGTGGTGGGGCAAAGAGAGAGGAAGGTGCGTAATGAGGTCAGCGGCTGTGGCAAAAGCGGCGAGGTGAGGGAACAGGTACGGCAGCATGAGGCGGCTAAGAGCAGCAGTGGCAGGGGAGGAGGTGCGTGCAACTACAGCGTCGTTCAGGGTCTTAGCACTCTTGTACTGACTAAAGTGCGCGCGCTTAGTGGATGGCAGGTGACTACGCACAGCAGCAGCAGCATCGCGCGTGGTCCACTGTGAGCGTACAGTACTGTCAGGATCGGCAGCAGGAGCAGTAGAGGCGCCAGACGTGATATTGAATAGTGAGAGACCGTCCTTGCTATCGCACTGTAGGAAAAGCTGCAGATCATCGAGCCAGACCTCAAAATCGATAGCGCGACCCTCAGCATCAAAGGTAAGCATATTGGGACTGGCCATGACAGCAGCAGCAGCAAGCTAGCAGCAGCAGTCGCAGCGCGACTCGGCTAAAGGGTGCGACTCGGCAGGGCGGCGCGGCTCGGCAGGGCGGCGCGGCTCGGCGGTGCGCTTACCAGGGGCACATGGGTAGGGTGGCCGCGACTGGAGGGGCAGGGCCGTGGTGCGCCGGCAGGGTCAGGTGTAAAACTATGTTTTGGATAGTTTATATAACTGTCTGTAGTTAGTGTTAGTGTAGTTATATGTTTGCTTATATGGTGGTGCACCTTGGCTAGTTTGCTATATGTACCTTGTGTGCTATAGTGAACCCAACCATTCTCTCTCTCGCTTGGCACAAACTCTCTCGACATACGTTGGCCTAGGCTACTAAGCCTGTGCCTTAAACCTTACGCTAGTAACTTGACATGGTATTGAGCTAGGTCGAGAACGACCAATTTTAATTCTCAATGGGCCCACCCTCAACGACCGCCGTTACTCGCGTTGCCCGTCGCGCGCCCATCAGTGTGACCGTCGCGAGAGTCGCAACGGTCGAGACGGCCGCGACGGCTGCAATGGCGAGCATAAACGCTCGCGGTCCCAACGTGCCCCGTCCCCAGCCGTACCTACCCCGTCGCCAGTTGCGCTCCTGTGCATCACCCGCCGAAGGACCCGCCAGCCTGCGAGCCGATGGATCCGCTGTCGAACCAGCCGCCAGCCGCCAACGACCAGCACCAGCAGCGACATATGCGCCGACCAGCGCCATCCGCGACAGCTGCGCCAGCAGCACCTGCAGTCCTTGCCACCGTCCCCGTCGCCTCCCCTTTCCCCGTCGTGGCCCCTTCTCGTCACCCGCTTTCGCGGATGTTCCCGTGTGCAGCGACAGTCGCTGTGGGGGAGGAGAGGGATGGGGGGAGGGCGTGGCGGGAACGCTAGCAGCGATAACGCCAGCGGCACCCGCGTCCGTCAGTAGCAGCACCAGCAGCACTCCGCCGCACCTCCTCTTCCCCGCTGCCCCACCTGCTATCCGCCGCCCCAACCTGTGGGAAGGGAGTGGCGGCGGATCACTGTGGGGGGGGGAGGCGAAAAGGGGGAAAGGGGTGACGGCGGGATGTCCGCCAGCACCAGCACCAGCACCGACACCAGGCACCAGCACCAGCGCCAGCCGCCAGCAGCGACACCGCTAGCAGAGACCCCCGCCAGCAGAGAGACCCCGCCAGCAGCTACACCGCCAGCAAAGAGACCCCGCCAGCAGCTACACCGCCAGCAGAGAGACCCCGCCAGCACCTACACCGCCAGCAGAGAGACCCCGCCAGCAGCTCCACCGCTAGCAGAGAGACCCCGCCAGCAGCTTCACCGCCAGCAGAGAGACCCCGCCAGCAGCTACACTGCCAGCAGAGAGACCCCGCCAGCAGCTTCACCGCCAGCAGAGAGACCCCGCCAGCAGCTACACCGCCAACAGAGACCCCGCTGCAGGGACTACCGTGGGTGGGGCAGGGGTGTGGAGGCAGAAAGGGGGACCGGGGTGAGGTTCTAAGGGGCGGCTGACCGGGGGAGTGAGGTTAAGGGGGGGTGGTTGAAAGGGGGTGGGGACTTGGGGGTTGCTAAGAGGGGTTTCGCCACTGGTGGCTCCCCCTCACCTCCTCCCCTCATCCCACTCTCACCTCTCCCTTTGTAAAAGGGGGTTATTAAGAGGGGTTCGCCACGGGTGGCTCCCCCTCACCTCCTCTCCTCGTCCCACTCTCACCTCCCTTTGTAAAAGGGGGTTATTAAGAGGGGTTCGCCACGGGTGGCTTCCCCTCACCTCCTCTCCTCATCCCCCTCTCACCTCTCTGCCGTCTTCCACTTTGCCAGGTGTACACCTCCACGGGCGTTCTACACTTCTACTTGCAAACAGTTCAGGGGGCATGTCAAACTATGTTTTGCATAGTTTAAATAACTGTTTGTAGTTAGTGTTAGTGTAGTTATATATTTGCTTATATGGTGGTGCACCTTGGCTAGTTTGCTATATGTACCTTGTGTGCTATAGTGAACCCAACCATTCTCTCTCTCGCTTGGAACAAACTCTCTCGACATACGTTGGCCTAGGCTACTAAGCCTAGGCCTTAAACCTTACGCTAGTAACTTGACATCAGGGCCACAACTAGGCGGCAGGGCAGGGCCGTGGCTCGGCTGCAGGGCAGGGCCGGGGCAGTAGGGACGGCAGCGGCAGCTGCGGCTCGCCACACCGGCGGCGGCAGGCTCGGCGGCGGTGGCAGGCTCGGAGGCGGCGGCAGGGATAGCAGCTTCTGCAGCGCTCCTCGGCGGCTGCTGCAGGCGGAGGCCGCGGGCGGCGAGAAGGTCAGGGCGGGGCCGCAGCGACAGGTCGACGCCCTGGGCCGAGGAGGGCCGCGCCGAAGGCGGGGCGGGCCGCGACAGGTGCCGGGGCAGGGCCGGGGCGAGGCCGCAACGGGGTCGTAATGGGGCCGGGGAGGGGCCGCGACGGGGCAGGGGCGGAGCCGTAATGGAGGGGCCGCGACGGGGCTGGGGCGAGGCAGCGAAGGGGCCGCGGAGGGGCCGCGGCGGGGCCGCAAAGGGGCCGCGACGGGGCCAAGGCGGGGCCGCGAAGGGGGGCACCGCGAAGGGGCCGAGGCGGGGCCGCGAAGGGGTCGTGAAAGGGCCGCGAAGGGGCCGCGAAGGGCCGCGACGGGCAGCAGGAGCAGGGCAGGGCTGCAGCACTGGCAGCAGGGCAGGGCGCGAAACGCTTTCGGGCAGGGCAGGAAAAAACGATTTTATCGAATCGGTGGGCCCTAGGAAAAAAAACGGTCCCATTGGGGAGCCCGCTCTATACCATGTGAAGATTGAGGAATGAAATGACTAGGAAACAAGTGGGTACAAGTAGGAAACCTAGAAGTGTTGTGCCCTATTTTGTCTACCCCACTACAGCCTAGAGAGATTATATCAACAGCAGCAGCAGGTGCAGTTGCAGACACAACAGGATAGAGTAGAGGAGGAGTCACGGCCGCCGAAGGAGAGGGTCGCGCAGGAGATCCGGTCGCAGCAGCGGGTGCAGCTGCAGCCGTAGTAGGAGAGGATTGTGCAGGAGTCCCGGTCGCAGCAGCGGGTGCAGCTGCAGCCGCAGCAAGAGAGGGCAGGGGAGGAGCCACAAGAGCAGCAGCAGGGACAGGTACTGTCCCAGCAGACGCCAGAGGAGGCGGAGCAGTAGCGACTGCGACTGCGACTGCACGACCTGCCGGACCCAGCACCTGCACGCTTGGTTCGTGGTCCCCTACCGTCCCCTCCTGTTCCACCCGTCCAGTCCCTTTCCTCGTCCCAGTGGACTCGTCCTTCTCCCCTCCGGCGTGTTGTGTCTCCAGAGCCCAGTCGGTTTTGTTACCGTGTAGACGGTCCGTTTCACCTTGTTCTCCGCTCTCGTGTTCCACCTCCTCCAGTCCTTCCACAGCCTCCTAAGTCGTCCCTCACTGTGCTTCACGACCCGTTGTCCGACTACCTCCATGCATCCCATCCTGTCGTCTCCCTTGTTTTGTCTGCGCTGGTCATTCACCCGACGGCACCTCTGTCGTCTGTCTCAGCACTAGTTACCATTGTCGCTGGATCTGCCTCTTCCCACCGCCTTGACTACGCCGCTCCGTGACATCACTTTTGAGAAGCTTGTCTGTTTCTACACGCGTTTCCCTCACCGAGGTACCCCCCCCCCCCCCTATTTCTCATTCCCACTCTCCCCCCCCCCCCCCCCTCCGGTCCCACACCTCCGCTTGTCCCCTCCCCCCGCATCTTGCCCCGTCTGGTGTGTGGCACATCACCCCCCTCCCCTTGATTGGGCCTGTAGGGGAGACTGCTACCTTTCGAGGCCCATTCCATGGGGGTGCACCTCCGGGGGTCGCCTCCCTCACCGCAGTCCCTGCCGTCACCCACGTCGTCCTTGCCGTCACCGTAGAAGCCAATCATTGCCGCCGTAAGCGGTCGCAGCGGACTTTGAGGGTGCTGTTGCAGGGGGTTGCTGGTTCTGAGGGTGCTAGTTCTAGGGATGCAAACGCTAGGGGTGCTGACTCAGGGCTGCTGTTGGAGGAAGTGCAGGTTTTGGGGGTGTCGCGGTGATGCAGAAGTAGTTGTCGTCACCACGTGTGACTGCACTTCACCTTCTTGGTCTTCCTTATCTTTTGACTGCCCATCCTCCTTCCGCCTCCTCACCGACTATCCAAGTCTATGGTCCCAAGTTTTCTCCTCCGGACTTTTCTCCGTTTGTTCTCCTCCTCGTTCAAGGCTGTCTCCTCAACTGTCTCTTGCCACGACTCCTGCTTCCAGACCCTGGGATTATCGTTCCCTTCGTGCTCACCCTGCTCTCCCATTACCTCTTTCTTCGTCCCTTACTGTCACTTCTCCGTTGTCTGACTTCCTCCGTGACGCTTGCCCTACTGTCTCCCGCGTTCTTTCCTATCTTGTTATTAACCCCACTACTCCCCCTTCATCAGTCTCTGCTCTTGTCGCTACTATCGCTAACTTTGCATGCACCCGCCGCATAGACTACGCAATTAAGTTGGTCCCTGCTCATGCCCGTCCTTTGTATATCGGGGGTGCTCATTCTGTTGACTTTGAGTCGTAGAGGAAATGAAGTTCAAGCAGTCTTTCCGTGCAGTTGCTGCTCCTTACCTCTGTGCCATGCAGCTAGCCCTCGAGGGTGACCCATGCGTTATTGACATCCCGACCCGTCGCACCTACGCTGGGGCAGTGTCGGGAGAAGGGCCCAAGTTTCGTACACTGATGGAAACAGGATGAAAAGTACTTAAGCCGATTGAGTTGGTCTGCCGGGGTCCCGTACACTTATTAGTGCTAAAATTTTGTGTCTACTTACACCAAGTCGAATTGGTCCGGATAGTTAAAAGTGAGTTGGTAAAATCTTACCGGTAGGTGCAATACTTGTGGCCGGAAATTTCAGTAGTGCGGTACTTGCTAACGCTATTTTGTGGAAAATCCGCATATCCTCACTACGAAAGATTTGATATCAGTTTAATTGGGTTGGTACACTGATGAAGTCAGGGGATACAAGCGCTAACTTTGATTTCCTAGGGTAAAAAAAAAAAACCAGAACCTTTTGAGTCAGGGCAATAAGTCTGGGAGGCTGACCGGGTCGGGGTAAATTAAAAAAAGCGGTCGCCAGTCAGGGCAATAACGGTAAAATACCCTAACATCTTGGGGCATGGTCGGGACGCTTATGTCAGAACATATATGTAGCTTATGCTGTTGTGTAGGCTACAGTGGGGTATCCCATAGGGGGTACAACCCAATTAGGGTTTTGCTATTTGTACCCAACTCTTTCATAGTGCATTCATTCTCGTTCTATTTTCCACATGGTATCGAGCAGGCTCCCCCGTGGGAACTGTGCTTAGGGCCCACCACTTTTAAACTTTTTTTCTGCCCGGAGCGCGCTCCGGGCCCTCACTCTCACTCTTTCGGCCTGCCCTGAGCCGCCCGCGCGCCGCCCGTCCCGGCCCCTAGCCGCTCGCGCGCCGCCCGTTCAGGCCCCTAGCCGCCCGCGCGCCGCCCGTCCCGGCCCCTAGCCGCTCGCGCGCCGCCCGTTCAGGCCCCTAGCCGCCCGCGCGCCGCCCGTCCCGGCCCCTAGCCGCTCGCGCGCCGCCCGTTCAGGCCCCTAGCCGCCCGCGCGCCGCCTGTCCCGGCCCCTAGCAACCCGCGCGCGTCTGTCCCGGCCCCTAGCCACCCGCGCGCACCCGTCCCGGCCCCTAGCCACCCGCGCGCGCCCGTCCCGGCCCCTCACCGCCCGCGCGCCGCCCGACCCGGCCCCAGGCCGCCCTGTGCCGCCCGCCCCGGCCGCGCTCTCCTGTCTCGGCCCCTCGGCGCCAGGACGCCACCCGTCCTGGCCCCTCACCCGTCCCGGCCTCACACCGCCCGTGCGCCGCCCGTCCCTGCTGCACGCCGCCGTCCCGGCCCCCCACGCCGCCCGTTAGCCGCCGTGCAGCCTGAGCCGCCCGAGCCGTCTGCGCAGCTGAGGAGCCGAGCCGCCCGAGCCGCCTGTGCCGCTGACAGCCTGAGCCGCCCGAGCCGCCCGAGCCGCCTCCCCCCCCCCCCCCCCTTTTCCCGTCGCCTGTCGAGGCGACCTGAGGGGGCCGCGTGCTGAGGGGTGGCAGGTGTGTGGTCTCCCCTGCTTCTCCTCCTCCTTCGTCTCGTGCCTCCCAGCAGCCGCGCCGCCCTGCAGCCGAGCCGCTCTACACCCGAGCCTCCCAGCAGCCGCGCCGCCGGGTCGCCGAGCTGCCGAGCTGCAGTTGCTGCCGAGCCGCCCTGCCGCCGAGCCGCCCGAGTCGCCCGAGCCGCAGAGCCGCCGTGCTGCCGAGCCGCTGAGTCGCCGAGCCTACTCTACCCACCACTAGTGAGCCCCTTTCCTGCTAGCACGCTGCGCGTCGCCTGCTTGCCTGCCTGCCTCCCTTTTTGGCTTGCCTGGCTGCCTGCCTTACTGCTGCTACTCCTGCTCCTGCCTCTACTGGTGGAGCCAGATGCAGCCCCATCGACGTCTGCGTGAGTCCCTCACGCCCCAGCAGCTGCGTGAGTGGTACGCTGGTTGGGGCTGTAGGGGTGGTGGCGCTACTACTGCTACCACTCCTGCTTCTACTACTGGTGGCGGCCAGATGCAGCTCCCGCGACCCCCCCGCGCGTCTCTCACGCCTCAGCAGCTTCGTGAGTGGTACGCTCAGAGTGGAGGGTCTCTTAGTTCTGTTCGCTGCTCTTACGTGATTCTCACTGGTGCTCGGACTGGTCAGCCTTGTGGGACACCTAGTCATACACAGTCCCGCTGCTTCGCCCGTCTGAGCGACGCCTGGCGTACCGTGTTTGGCAACGAGGCTGAGCTCCCCGACTGGGTGGAGTTGCTTAGGCAGAGGGTAGATATATTTGCTCTTGACTATGATGCTATTCTCACTACCATGTATGCATTGCCTACTAGTGCTGACCGTGCCGCTCACCTGTGCGTCCCGCCTGACCCGGGTATAGGACCTGCTGCTCTAGCTACTGGTGAGGCTGCTGCTGCTCTGGGTGCTAGTGAGTCTCCTGCTCCAGGTACTAGTGCGGCTGCTGCTCTAGGTGCTAGTGAGTCTGCTTCCTCAGGTGCGGGTGAGGCTGCGCTCTCAGGTACCGCGTTGGCTTCGGCCTCCCTCACCTTTACACTTGACTCTGGGGCTTCTCGCTCCTTCTTTCGGGACTGCACCACACTCACGCCGCTTGGTCGGCCGGTTGCAGTCTCCCTGGCTGACCCCTCTGGGGGTCCTGTCCTCGCTCACTTCTCCACTGTCCTCCCGTGTCCGGCTGCCCCCTCGGGCACCCTGTCTGGCCTGTACCTCCCCTCGTTCTCGACGAACTTGGTGAGTGGTGCAGACCTGCAGGATGCGGGGGTTCACCAGTTCACTCCTGCGAGTCAGCGGGTGACCCACTGCACGGACGCACGCACAGGCCGGCACCTGGCCACGTTCTCGCGTCGGCCGGGGTCGAGCCTCTACACCCTGACCACTGAGTCTCCTCCTCTCCCTGCGTCCGGTCAAGTAGCAGCGTCAGGTCAGGTGTTTGCTGCTGCGTCCAGGTCTGGTCCTGAGTCTGCCCCCTGTTCGTGTCGCCTCCTGTCTCACGAGACTCTCCTCTGGCACCACCGTCTTGGCCACCCCTCCTTGCCCCGCCTTCGGGGCATGGCTTCCCGTGTCCTTGTCCCTGATCTTCCCCAGTCTCTCCCTCCCCTTCCTTCGGGACCAGGACCTTCCTGTGTCCCCTGTGTCGAGGGGCGCCTCAGGGCTGCTCCTCACTCCTCCCAGTTTCCCCCGACAGAGGCTCCTCTGCAGACACTTCACATGGACGTGTGGGGCCCGGCCCCCGTCCGTGGGCAGGGTCACGAGCGCTACTTCCTGTTGGTGGTTGACGACTACTCGCGTTACACCACAGTCTTCCCCTTGCGCAGCAAGGGTGCTGTCACTGAGGTGCTGATCGACTGGATCCGCGAGGCTCGTCTCCAGCTCAGGAGGAGCTTCGGCTCGGACTTTCCTGTTCTGCGTCTGCACTCTGACCGAGGTGGGGAGTTCTCCTCTCGCCTTCTGCGAGACTACTGTCGTGCACAGGGAATCCGCCAGACCTTTACGCTTCCGGACTCTCCACAGCAAAATGGGATTGCTGAGCGCCGCATTGGCATGGTCATGGATGTCGCTCGTACGTCCATGATGCATGCGGCTGCCCCCCATTTTCTGTGGCCGTTTGCGGTTCGGTACGCGGCGCATCAGCTCAACCTTCACCCCAGGGTCTCTCGGCCCGCGATGTCCCCACTGTTACTGTGGACGGGGAAGGTCGGCGATGCGTCTGCGTTCCGTGTCTGGGGATCTCGGGCGTTTGTCCGCGACTTGTCTGCGGACAAGCTGTCCCCCCGTGCTGCTCCCTGTGTCTTCCTTGGCTTCCCCCCTGACGCTCCAGGGTGGCAGTTCTACCACCCCTCCTCTTGTCGTGTTCTGTCCTCCCAGGACGTCACGTTCGACGAGTGAGTCCCCTTCTACCGCCTCTTCCCCTACCGTACTCCTTCCCTCCCCCCCCCACCCGACTTCCTGGTGCCAGTTCCCCCCCCGGTAGACCCCCTCCCCCCTCAGGTTCCTGCCCCTTCAGGTGTGTCCCAGGTAGACACAGTCGAGCCAGTCGAGGTTTCTGCTGAGTCTGGTCCTGTTGCGGGTGCAGAGTCTGGGGGTGCTACGCCTGCGGGTGCTGAGCTTGGGGTTGCTGCTGCTGGGGGTGCTGAGCCTGGGGGTGCGAGGCCGGGGGGTGCTGAGCTTGGGGGTGCTGCTGCTGGGGGTACTGAGCCGGGGGGTGCTACGTCAGGAGCTGCTGAGCCTGGGGGTGCTGAGCATGGAGGTGCGGAGCCTGCAACTGCTGGACCTGGGGGCTCTCCGGTTGCTCCGTCTCGGCGGGAGCCGCTCTCTCCACAGGAGCTGCGCGAGTGGTTTGCTTGCCGCTGGAGGCGTGCTACTCGAGCTGGAGCTCCTTCGACTGCTGAGGGTGCTGGTGCTGCCGGTCCCGGAGCTGCTGGGCCTGCGGGTCCTACTGGAGCTGGAGTTGCTGAGCCTGGGGGTGCTGAGTTTGGAGCTGCTGAGCCTGGGGATGCTGAGTCTGGAGCTGCTGAGCCTGGGGGTGCTGAGTCTGGAGCTGCTGAGCCTGGGGGTGCTACGTCTGGAGCCGCTGAGCCTGGGGTTTCTCCTGGTGCTGCGTCTCGGCGGGAGCCCCTCTCTCCACAGGAGCTGCGCGAGTGGTTTGCTCGCCGCTGGAGGCGTACTGCTGGAGCTGGAGCTTCTCCGACCGTCGAGGGTGCTGGTGCCGCCGGTCCCGGAGGTGCTACGCCTGCGGGTCCTACTGGAGCTGGGGCTGCTGAGGGCGGTGGTGCTGAGTCTGCTGATGTCTGTCCTGACGGTGGTTCTGCTGCTGGTGCTGCTGGAGGTACCGCCGTTGGAGGTGTTGGTGGCGCTGGTGCTGCCGCTGAGGGTGCTGGTGCTGTCCCTGCTGAGTCTGGAGCTGCCGCGCGGCCTCGGCCGTACTTCGTTTCGCTTCTGCAGCAGGTTCTTGGTCTTTCTCCTCCGGTAGAGTGTCCACAGCCTGTCCAGTCGCAGTCACTGTTGGAGCCTACCTCCCCACTGCCTGCTCCCTCTCCTTACACTGGTCCTACTGGAGGTCTTACTGAGCGTCGTGAGCCTGCGTCTCATCCCGCGTCGCCTGTTTGTGCTGCCCGCGCTAGTGGTCGTGGTTCGCGTCCGCCTCCTCCTCCTGTCCCTGGCACGCACCGGATGTCTCTGCGTCCGTCCACTGCTCCTCTGCGTGCCCTTTTGCCTTCTCCTCCTGAGTCCTCCCTTCCTGTGCTTACCGACCCAGAGTCGGACTCCCTTCGTGCTGCCAGTCCTACTGTCACGCGTCTGCTTGCTACTGTCGTCACTGACCCCTCTTTTGAGTCCGCTGCTGCGTCTGCTCTTGTCGCTGAGCTCGTCGACTTTGCTGCTCGCTGTCGTCTAGACTACGCTGCTAGTCTTGTTGCTGAGTCTGCGTCTGTCTGTCCTCCGTCCGTTGGGGGTGAGTGTGCTCTTGGCACGGACGTCCTAGAGGACAGGCAGGAGGAGTTCCAGTGTCTGGCTGCTGCTTCACCTCATCTCGCGTCTGTACTGCTTGCTCCTGAGGGAGACCCGGATGCACTAGACATCCCGACTCCGCGCTCTTACGCGGAGGCCGTAGAGGGTCCCTACTCCTCTCAGTGGCAGGCAGCTATGGATGCAGAGATGGCTTCCTGGAAGTCCACAGGCACCTACGTTGACGCGGTTCCCCCTCCTGGGGCGAACATCGTCAGTGGCATGTGGATCTTCAGGGTGAAGCGGCCGCCGGGCTCTCCACCTGTCTTCAAGGCGCGGTACGTCGCTCGTGGCTTCAGTCAGCGGCAGGGAGTTGACTACTTTCAGACCTTCTCTCCCACCTCGAAGATGACCACTCTTCGGGTGCTGCTGCACATAGCCGCTCAGCGCGACTACGAGCTTCACTCTCTCGACTTCAGTACTGCGTTCTTGCAGGGGAGCCTGCACGAGGAGATCTGGCTGCGCCGTCCACCTGGCTTCACTGGGACTTTCCCTCCTGGCACCCAGTGGAGCCTTCGACGGCCAGTCTACGGTCTCCGCCAGGCACCACGTGAGTGGCACGACACACTGAGGACTACGCTTGCGGCCCTTGGGTTTGCTCCTTCTACTGCTGACCCGTCGCTGTTTCTGCGCACCGACACTTCACTGCCGCCGTTCTACATCCTCGTGTACGTCGACGACTTGGTCTTTGCCACAGCGGACACTGCTGGACTCGCCTACGTGAAGTCCAAGCTGCTGAAGAGACACACGTGCACAGACCTGGGTGAACTGCGCAGCTACCTTGGCTTGCAGATCACTAGGGACAGAGCACGCCGCACCATTACCTTGACTCTGTCACACATGGTGCAGCAGGTCCTTCAGCGCTTTGGCTTCACGTACTCCTCGCCTCAGGCCACTCCTCTGTCTACTCGCCACTCACTCTCAGCTCTGCCTTCGGATGAGTCCGTAGAGTCGAGTGGCCCGTACCCAGAGCTTGTTGGCTGCCTCATGTACCTGATGACTTGCACACGTCCTGACCTTGCATACCCTCTGAGCATTCTTGCACGCTATGTTGCTCCTGGGAGACACCGACCAGAGCACATGGCTGCAGCGAAGAGGGTATTGCGCTACCTGTGCAGTACGTCGGGCATGGGGCTAGTGCTTGGAGGGCGGAGTCCAGTGGTACTTACAGGTCACGCGGACGCTTCTTGGGCTGACGACCAGGCTACGCAGCGGTCGTCACAGGGTTACACCTTCAGCCTTGGCTCCGGCTCTGTCTCGTGGCGGGCTACTCGCTCGTCTTCGGTTCTCAGCTCGAGTTGTGAGGCTGAGATCTACGCAGGGGCCATGGCTGCACAGGAGCTTCGCTGGCTCACCTACCTGCTGACTGACCTTGGAGAGCCGCCTCGTTCTCCTCCAGTGCTGTACGTAGACAACAAGGCCATGCTGGCCTTGTGTCGAGAGCAGCGTCTGGAGCACAGAACGAAGCACATTGCTCTTCGCTACTTCCTTGCTCGTGAGCTACAGCAGCGTGGACAGTTGCGGCTTGCGTACGTGGCCTCTGAGGCCAACACTGCTGATGTGTTCACCAAGGCACTCGCGCCTTGTGACCATCAGCGCTTCTGCACCCAGCTGGGTCTTGTGCCTGTCTTGCCTCACTTGCTCTCCTCTTGACTTTACTTGTACTGTCGCATATATATACCTGCTCTTGCTTGTCTAGCTTTATATATATATGTGTGTACTACTGCATGTGAACTGGCCTTGTGGCCTTGCTCTTGTGCTCGGACTGTGTGGTGACTTTGTGATCCACCCTGAGCTTTGTTTTGCTTTGCTTGACTGGTCTTGTAACCCCTTGTTCTCCCCCACTTTGCCTATGGGGGTGTGTCAGAACATATATGTAGCTTATGCTGTTGTGTAGGCTACAGTGGGGTATCCCATAAGGGGTACAACCCAATTAGGGTTTTGCTATTTGTACCCAACTCTTTCATAGTGCATTCATTCTCGTTCTATTTTCCACAGCTTAGCCGGGCCTTGTTTTCTCATAGAACTGATAGATGCGCAGTGCTCCGTTTACAGGAGCATGCAGATATTATAGAAGTGCGCTTCTATCTGAGGCGAAATTTTATTCAGACTAGATTATTTAATATGTTATAAAATGTGTTGTCTTACCGTATCATTCTGGTTCCAAAATTGAAGTTACCTTGACGCTTTTTTAGTTATTTATTCCTTTCTATTCTCAATGTACCCCTTTCACGTACTTCACCTCATTTTCAAGGCCCTTCCCTTGGAATCGAGGGCGGTCCGTTTGCATTCTCGTTTCGCGCTTCCGCATACAGTGACATTGACCACAGCGAAACCTATAACATTCTATCTGTATAGGAGCCTTCGTTGCACATTGGGTCGAGTTCCTCCCATTGTCACACAGCCCTCGTTGCTCCAATTGCAACCCTGGGCTGGGAGCCTGGGAGTTGTGCGCGTCTCGATCGGCAGCCAGCCCAGCCTCGCCCCTGCGCGAGACGACACTAAACAGAAATTACAGGGGCCAATTCAAGACGCTCGATGGGCAGGCCCCAGCAGACGGGCATCGCATCCAACAGTTGCCCAGCGGGTGCGCCTCCTAACCTGGATTTGCGTCAACCCTGCCGCTTCGTGTCTACCCTTGGCCTACCGACCAAGGTTAGCTGAGCTTACTTATGAACGACGAGTTGAGACAAATGCAGACCTTCAATGCGATAGCGATATTAACAGCACAGCTGTGCATGCAACAGCACACACTACAAGGGCTCGACACAGCAACCTGAAACCTTAGTGTACATAACTTGTGACGTTCTGCCTTGGAATTAGTTTTGTTTTTTGTTTTTTTTTTCGAATCTACCAACTCCGCGGGCGAATTACGCTATGTCTGCTTTGTAAGTCAGCTCGAGCAAGCCCAACGTTCAAGGAGACATTTGCAAGCAATTAGGGCTGGCATGACCCCGACACCTATCATGGGATGCACCGTAAGGCATCAAGGAAGACCCATCCTTTGGCTTTTCCTCCTGCTCATCACTCAGTCGCTCAAAAGCGTCGATGCGATTGTGGATGGCTCGTCTCGATTTGGAAGGCAATTGCGAGCAAATGGTGGTGGGAATGGCGCCAGCAGTGACAAGAATCTTCCAACAAAACGTGAGACATTGACGACAGCCAGAGACTCAGAATTGCTTCTTTCTCTCATCTCTTATACTGCACATTTCTTTTGAGCAGCGTTTTATATCCAATAACGGTACTCCGTGCCTCGTCTGTTTTTCTATTCTCCGCTCCTCTACCCTCCCACGACCTTGCAGTGTACATCATCCGCTTTCGCGCGCTCCCCCCTGTAGTCGCGTACACGGGCTCCCTCCTGGGCTTCCCCTCCACGGCTCCGCGCAACGGCTACTCCGCCGCAACAGCCGCTACCCCGGATGATCTTGCAGACGATATTACAGCGAGATCAACCGGCTTGACAGGCGCGGCGGTCAGCCCTGACGTGCGTGACGATGGCGAGGCTCCAGCAGGGCGGCTGGACTCGGGGGAAGAGCACGTGAGAGCGTACGCGCAGCATCTGGACCGCATGCACGACACGGTGCTCGCAGAGGCCGGCGTGCAGCCCCTCACGCACAAGCTCTACAGCTTCAGATACGTCACGAATGGCGTCGCCGTGCGGCTAACCCTGCGGCAAGCGGCGTTACTGAAGCGGCACCCAGCAGTGGGCTCGCTCATGGAGTCGAAGATCCTTCATGCGCGTACCACGTTCACTCCATCGTTTCTTGGGTTGAGGGACGGGGTATGGGATCGTCGGCCCATCCCTGCATCCACACCTGGGGCACTGCAATGGCTCGCGGCGAGAGGTGCCAGGGGGGCAGGCGGCGATGGGGGCACTCGGGCGAGAGCAGTGCGCGAAGCACAAGGAGCAGCGCCGGCAGCGCGCACCGCGAGCGCGGAACCATCGCGAGAAACGGGCGGTGCTGATCGGCGGGTGGGACTGGAAACAGTGGACGGGGTGATGGGCGCGGACGTGGGGCAGCGGCTGAACGGCAGCACATCCCGCGGAGATACGTCTAGCGGTACGGGAAGTGCCGATAAGGATGCGCGATCGTATGGGGTACGGGCTGGCAGGAAGCGGGGTGGAAAGCGAGTAGACACTGGCCTGCGCGGGGAGAATGTTATCATAGGCGTTATCGACACGGGCGTGTGGCCGGAAAATCCCGCCTTCACCGGGAAGGTTCTTCCGCATTACGGCCGCATTCCACGGCGGTGGCGTGGGTCGTGCACGGTCACCAAGGACTGGCCGAGCGGCGCGTGCAGCCGCAAGCTGATCGGCGCGAAGGCGTTCTTCAAGAGCATGCAGGACGACGTGGACTGGAGCGTCGAGTACCCGTCGGCGCGCGACGTGCACGGCCACGGCACGCACACGGCCAGCACGGCCGCCGGCAACGACGGCCGCACGGCGGTGCTGCGTGGCGTGCGGTTCGGATCAGAGAGCGGCATGGCGCCTAGAGCGAGGGTCGCCGTCTACAAGGTGCGATGCTGCGAGATGACGGGTGGGTGGTTGTGGAGGGATGAGGCCAGAGAGGGAAGGTTGCGTGGCAGTGAGGAAAGTGCGGTGCTCGTACATGGCGTACAATGCTTCTGCACGTTCGGCGTTACTCAGCGCCCGTTGTCCTCTTCCCCCCATCAGACGCTATGGACGTTGAAGGACGGCGGTGCGGTGAGCGCGGAGGCGGACATCGTGGCGGCGATCGAGGCGGCGGTGGCGGACGGCGTGGACGTGCTGACCATGTCGCTGGGCGGCCAGGCGTCGCTCTTCGACGTCGACCAGCTCGCCTTCCTGCACGCCGCGCAGGTGATTCCTGCCACACCCCCACCAACGCGCATGTGCCGCGTCTGTGTTGGTTGCTGCTCACCATGGACTCGCCGTGCCTGTCACTAGCCCCGCCCCTTCGTCACCCGTGTCTTCCGCCCCCTGTGCCGCGCATCGCAGGCCGGTGTGTTCGTGTCGGTGCCGGCGGGCAACAGCGGGGCGGCCATCGAGAAGCAGTACTTCACGTGCACGCTGGACCACCCCGCGCCCTGGTACACCACCGTCGCTGCCAGGTCAGGCCCACTTCATTTCTAACTCTACCCTCCCCTTGGATGGCTTCCGCCGCATCTACTCCTTTTCCAGGCCCACTTCATTTCTAACTCACGCATCCTTCCAACCCCTTGGTCCCTTCCCTCCCTCCCCGCTCCAATCCCTCCAACTCCGACGTACCCATTCCGCGCGCTCGTCGGGTGTCAGCTCGCACGGGCGCAACTACAGCACGGCCGTCACCATCGGCGGCACCACGTTCGTGGGGCGATCACTGGTGGGCGGCAAGGGCACGGCGCTGAGAGCGGGCATCATACTCGGGTCGGACGCCAACAGGCCGGGCGCCAACAGAAATGCGGTGAGCCCCACGCACGCCCATTCCAGGCAGTCCGGAGTGCGAGTGAGTGAAAGTCATAATGGATGCTCGTCTGTTCAAGTGGTTCGCCGAGGGCTCGACTTAGCGTACCACCCAAGTCATGGCCTCGCATGACGCAATCAAAGCGCTCCAAACAGTCTCTTACCTCTTTCATTTGAACCACGCGAGCAACTTGCTTCTTGCGCTGCCTCTCACACGCCCTCCTGTTCTCCCGTGACTACCACCCGCAGGCCAACTTTTGCGAGCGGGGCTCGCTGGACCCCGGCAAGGTGCGCGGCAAGATCGTGGTGTGCACGCGCCCCAGCACGCAGGGCTCGCACTCCGCGCGCACCTTCAACATCAGCCGCGCTGCCAAGGCGGCGGGCGCCGTGGGCGTGGTGATCGCGAACCAGGACCCGGGCGACAGCACGGCCGCCATGCTGCACGACCTGCCCGCCTCGCACGTGGACGCGGACGCGCGCGCCAAGCTCATCTCGCTCGTCAAGGCCACGGCAAGGTACGCGGGTGGGGCTATGGGTGAAGGGAGTGCATGGCGGTCGGGAGGGTGTAGTTGCAAGCATCGTCTCCTACAGCACACTAGCCATCACCACAACTGTGGTATGCACTTGGGGAATGGCATGCACTGTGACCACACCTCCGCACGCCCACACACACAACACTCCCAGCACTGCCTCCCAGCTCTTATAGCTTCACCTTTGCCCGACTAGTCGCAACATCTCACCACGTGCATCTGTGTGCCCACGGTTCCCGCTCTCCCCCCTGGCAGCCCCATGGCGTCACTGTCGCCGCTGTTCATAGCGCACTCGCCGTCGCCCACCATGGCGTGGTTCTCGTCCACGGGCCCCAGCACGGACCCCTACCAGACGTTTGACGCCGCCGCCATGGGCAGCAACCTCAACGACGTGGTGAAGCCCGACCTCACGGCGCCGGGCGTGGAGATCTGGGCGGGGTGGACGCAGTCGCCCTTCCAGGTCACCGACATGGGCGTCACAGACGGTCAGTGCGCCAAGCCTTGCCTGCACGCTCCCCATACCTCCCACTGCCGTTCAACCTGCTTGAAGATTAACTTGGGCTGCTCACTTCCCTTGCACGTTTTCCCATGGCAGCTACGAGTGTGAGGCCGGGTGCAGTGACAGCGCAGATGGTGAGTGGCACGTCCATGTCCACCCCACATGTGGCGGGCATCGCAGCGCTCATGAAGCAGCACCACCCCGAGTGGAGTCCGTTCGCCATCAAGTCAGCGCTGCAGACCACAGCGTACGCGGTCAACAGCGCCAGCGCGCCCATCGCCAATGAGGACGGCAGGGTGGCCAACGGCCATGCCATGGGGTCCGGACACGTCTTCCCTGCTCGTGCCTTGGATCCAGGTGCGTGGTGGGTGATGACGCGCATTCTGTCCCATTATCATGCGTGGCTATCGCTTTCTATAAGGTTTCTAGCGCACCAGCATATCTCGTACCCCTCTAAAGGAGGCATCTGAGTACCGGTGCGCCATGTTGGTCCAATGTGCAGGGCTGGTGTACGACAGCAACATGGTGCAGATGGTGCAGTTCCTCATCGCCGTGGACCCCTGGGAAACCAAGCAGACCAGTGCCTACTCCTCCCTGCCTGCACGCCTGCGCACGGCCATTCCTTCGTACAACGTCAACCTCCCAAACATTGCTGTGAGCAGGCTGCAGAAGAAAGCGGTGGTCACGCGTGTTGTCAAGAATGTGGGCTCAGTGGCATCAACTTACAAGGCAACAGTGGTGCGCCCGAAAGGAGTACGGGTCATTGTAAGCCCTGCAATGTTTACCATAGCCCCTGGTCAATACAGCAAGTATACTGTCACGTTTTTGGTGCGGAAGCCAAGCAATCACTTCAAGTTCGGGAGCCTTGTATGGACGGATGGAGTACACACTGTCCGTTCAGTCTTGGCTGTTCAACCTCTTTCCCGCTGACTTTCTGTTCAAACTTGAACATTAGACATGCTTCTTCCATATTATTCTAACATGCCTAGTCTGTCAACACTATTGATTGCAGTAGTGCAAAGCTTTGGTGGGTGCGATTAGGGCGTGTCCAGTTCGTTCATTTCGGGATTTTTCGTGCCAGCACACGTATCGAGGTTCAAAAATGACCACCGTACCTAGAAACGAATGCATTGTGACTGGAGTCCAACCATCCTGTAATTTCAGAAGTGCGGACATATTCCCCGCCACACGAATCAACAGTGCTCCGACCACGTTGAAAACGAGGTAACAGTTTCCCTCGTCAATCATAGCTGAGAATTTTTGTGCAGGCGCAGGGGGCGTTGGCGAGTAGAGCGAACCACTGACGAAATCGTGCAAGCGATACAAGGGGCACAAACTGTAGTGGCCAGGACGCGGTGCTGTACCCTTGTTCGCGTCCCTGCTGATTCGAGTAACGTGAGTCAGACGACTCTTTTTTTGGGTTGCGAAGCAACCTATTACAATCGTTATGTACATTTTTTTTTTCAATCCTCAATACCTTTAAAAAATAGAGGGAAAAAATATAGTGAACGGTACTAGCTAAATGACTGACTGCTATGTATCTGCCGCGTCAATTTACCACGTGCTGAACCACATTCTTTCTCATTTCCTAGTTTACTTTGACTGAACCTATATTTCATGAGTTGCCAAAATGATGTACTGTGAATGCATAACTGTTTATTCCGTGATGCATATGTCTGCTATTGTTATAAGTAGATGAAGTAAATGCAAATGCATAAGTATAATGCATATACGGTACTACCGGTACCGTAATGAAATAAATGCACAGCATGATGGAAGTGCGTAACAGTTAATTGACGCAGACCCTATGCTACCGCATCCCCTGCCTAGCATGGGGGGGAGCTCAATAGCATAATTTATGAATCATCCAACTGTTACATGAAACAACACAATCTGTGTGATATAAAAAACAGGTCAATTCCATCAAATCCAGTTCGAATGGACACACTCACTGAGTGCGCAAAGAACCTTCTCGGAAATGATAGTTTGATCCCAATTTTTAAACCCCACAGACATGTGTTATTAATGCAATGGAAACATGAATGAAAACGCATACGCACACAACACAACGCATACACATTGTTGGAAACAATAAGTCCTAAGTGCGCTTCTGTCGTATCAAAATCCAAGGTACCAAGCGAAGCAGTCCCAATCGAAGCATCGAGTCAACCTCGGAGGTTAGGGTAACCGCCTGGAGGTTACGAGAAAGTCAAAGGTCGCTGACCTTTGACTCGACAATTACAGCGCGACAGTTAAGGACACACAACTGACTCGTTACAGAGCAGTTGCCCGAGTCGCGCTATATCGAACCGCAACAGCAATACAGTTATCTATCTATTCCCTGTACTCTTATATAAATCCTTGTATTTGCTTGTTTAATTCAATCAACTTTGCTCTCACACACCAGTGCAAGGTCGGTTCAAATTCTTCACTAAACGCTTCCGCTATTACAACTACTTCACCTAGAGTTATCCCTTGCAAAGATCCTAAGGGGCTATCTCAGCCCAACATGGTATGAGAGCAGACAAGGGAAACTCTACTCTTTTTTCAATATCATTACAAGACATGGCAACAAACAAGGAAAGGAGCTCCCCTAATGGCTCCTCGGGCACTACTCCTACTCCACCGTCAGCCTCTGGCCTGCAGACAGAAGAAGGCACGGCAACAAGACCAAGAGGAACGTCAACCGAGACCCCCATGAACCACCCTTCGGACTTTGACCAGAACATGATGGAGAAATTTTTCTCCTTCATGTCCTTCTACGAACAACACCAGCAGTCGGGACCTGCACAAACACACAACAGCAACAACGGAGCGACACCCATGAGTCTTGATGGGTCGTCATATGCGCGAGGAAACCAGCAGCAGCAACCTACCTTTGCTCCGTACGAGCGCGGGTCAATCAGCTTCGTGCCCCACCCGCAACCTTCACCTGGACAAGAAAGACCACTGGACGCACTTCAAGTTCAGTCGCAGTTTGCACACGTCTTAAAACTGCAAACGTCAAGACCCTTCGACGGCAAAGACTTCTTTACCTGGTCCTTTGAATTCGAGCTGATGATGGAGGGCGCGCAGATACTCGGCTTCTTCGACGGGTCCCTGCAGTATCCAGCCAACGGGACACAATATGAAAAGCAGCAGTATACGTATCAATCAATGATGGCGTATACAATCCTATTGAGGAATGTGACACCAACTCAGCAGCAGAACATTCGCTCTTACCGGACCTTCGGCAACTCGGCGGAGCTCGCGTACAGCCATCTGAAGAACCTGTATCAAGCAACAGACAGTGTAAACCAGAGCAGGTTAATGGCGCAGTTGACGACAGTCGAAATGAAACCAGGAGAAAAAGGACTGGCGTATATCAGCCGATGTCGCGAACTGCGCGACAAGCTGCTTCGATGCGGAGGGTCAATCTCTGAAGACGCCTTCGTGACAGTCATCATTGGTGGGCTTGGTCCTCAGTGGCGCGCCACCAAAGCCATTCTTCGAGCCCACGGAAGAATCTCTGAAGCTGCACTCTGCGCCGAAATACATGCCGAGCAGCAAGATATGGACCTGCAGGAAGAACGACACAGGAAGAAAACGACAGTATCAGAGTTCGCATTCCACACTCAACGACGACACAGCAATTATAACAACCGACAGCAGCAACCGAAGATAGTACCTCCCTTCTGCCACATCTGCAAGACTTCAGGGCACCCGCGCACACACTGCCCGAATCGTCAGCAATCAACGGCACCACAGCGACAACTTCGACCTTCAAGCTCCCAAATGGCTTCAACACAAGCAAGTGCGACGACCACTATTCAAGCTTCAACGACTTCACCCGGACAACCTGCACAAGGAGCAAGAAATATAATCAACTGCATGACGAAGATAACCGATTCATGTACAACCGAATCACCACCACACTACTCACCGGAAGAAGAGCTTGACAACAGAACGCCTCGCCGTGAGCTACTCCAGCCGAATCCAACGTACGCCGCCATCGCTCAAAGTGAATCGTCCGGCCAAGACACCTGGTTCTTGGACAGTTGCTGCGGGCAACACATGTGCTCGTCCGGGCGTTTCGTACAACGCGAACATCGACTCCAACGGGAAGTGATCATCACGGTTGCCAACAACCAAAACCTGCGCACACGAAGACAAGGAGTGGTACAGCTTCAGTCAAGAGAAACAAATGTCATACTGCACATGTCTAAGGTACTCATCGCTGAAGGACTCGGCTACAACTTACTGAGCGTTAGCCAGTTGATGGCGAAAGGAATTCATCTGGAAGCCGACAGCACGACCCAGGAGTTCAAACTTTACCACGGGAGAGGCGGTCTCTACATCGGGAAAGCAGTGCTGAAGAACAACGTCTTCGTCCTCGACTTCGTTCCTGACCTGGGCACTGCAGACAGCGACGCCATCGTGAATTTCACTGACTGGACACACCCTCCGGATCTCGACCCCGACTTCAGCCCAGGAGGCTTCTGGTACTCGCACACCATTCCTGAAGCAGAACGAACACGAGCATTAGCAACAATTCGACAATCGGCAGCAGTAACAACATCGGCAGCAGCAACAACATCAGCAGCAGTAACAACATCGGCAGCAGCAACAACATCAGCAGCAGCAGGAACAACGACACCAGTCACAGTCGACGAAGCACCACCAACACCCGCGAAACAGCTGAATCCGACTCAACGTGAAGTCCACCGAAGCGCCAACCTCGTCGCCAGTTTTTACTCCAACTCCGACGCATATCAGCGTTCACCTGGACACCGTGCCTCTGAAGAGATCTGGCACGCACGAACAGGACATCCAAGCAACACGGTTTTGAATAACACGATAAGAGCAGGAGTCCTTGACAAAGATTCTCTACTTCTACCCGATGGCAGAGAACTCCAGAAGGCACGAGGGACTTGCCTTATATGTCCCGAAGCTGACTTACCTCATCGACCGTTTGCTTCACATCACAACCCGAGCGCTCCAGCGTACGCACCACTCGAAAAAGTCTACAGCGACATCCTCTACAATCGCGAGCCAGGACAAGTCAACTACAACTACACCATCACCTTCATCGACGCCGCCACTCGATACGTCTGGCATCGCAACCTACCCAGCCGCGACATGGCGCTCGCAGCATTCGCCGCCTGGCTACCGATAGCAGAGAGAGAGTCTGGAACACAACTGAAAAAATTCCAGTCAGACGGAGGTGGCGAGTACACCTCTCACCGCTTCAAGCAGTTCTTGGCGGAAAGGGGGATCAAGCAACTCCTCTCCCTTCCTTACGCACATCAGCAGCAAGGTGTTGCAGAACGACTGAACAGGACCCTGCAGAACAGCATGCGCAAACTATTACGTGGCATGCGGCTACCCAACCACCAGTGGCCAGCAGCAATGGACCACGCTGTCATGCTACACAACTTGTTGTCGTCGTCGTCACTCCCGAACAACGCATCACCGCATCTGCTGTGGACAGGGAAGCAGGGCAGCACGAAAATGTTACGAGTTTTCGGGTGCATGGTACAGTACAGACCCCCAGAAGCACGAGCAGGAAGATTTTCGCAACGGGCACAGTGGGGACTACACCTCAGCATCGAGAAAAATTACAACGCATGGAAAATCTTCGACGTCCACACAAAGGAAACAGTAGCAGCACGTGACGTGATCTTCTACGAAAGACTCACCCTTCAGACGTACCTCGCCAACTTGCACAAGAATCGGGACCTCACCAGTGGTTTTCGTGGTGACCGAGCCTTCGCGTCAGCAGCGGACGAAGCAGACTGGGATGAACAGAACGTCGACAACGCCTCAGAAGAAGCCGGACCTCTCCCATACTGCTCCGTCGACGTGCCCATGGATGAGGATAATCCTCGCGACAGTAACAACGCCGAAATCTTCTACCGTTTCGCCGACGATGGTTACGTAACACCTGTGAC